TGAATTCCAGTATTTTTATCAAAAAAAAAAAAAAAAAAAAAACTTAGGCCCTATTTTGATAGACTTTTCAAATACTAAAGTATGAAAAATATTTAAACTTTGGCTTTCATACTTTTTAAAAGCACGAAACCCCTCAAAAGCATGAAGTCAACTTTTATTAATTCGTGCTTTTGGGGAAATTTTGCTTCCATTTCATGTGAAGGGTGGTCATATGTGACCATCCTTCAAGTAAAACCCCTCAATCGAGACTCCCCCATTCGCCTATCGTTTTCAAGCCCTAAACTCTTTACTACTATGGGTTCTTGCTCTGTCGTCGCCCATCTCTGACCCCCATTGCTAGTGGAAATCGTCGTCAGAAGCACAGCCCTCACCAGAATCGTAGGTATGGATTCCAGTTTCATATTTTCCCCCCTTTCTTTTAATGTTTTTCTACATTTCATGTAATATCTTCAACCTTAATGGTATGTTTATTGCATGTTTACCACCACTGGAATCACTGTTGTCGACTTCTTCATTTGCTAAACTATTCTTGAAGCTTAATGGAATGTTTTTATGGCTTGTTTCTTTTAATGTTATATATAGTATTATACCTGTACAAAACCACTTCATTTCCTAAACCAAGTGCCATTTCTAAGTGATTACCACGTGTACATGATGCGTACACATGGCACGTGTTCGTATCTTTAGTGTAGATAGGTGGCTAATCATGGGTAATGTGGTCTGTCACATATAAGATCAGATGAATCACATGATTGATAAGGTGCTTTTGGCAAACATAAAATGGTACTTCTGTTTTGAAAATTAAAAATAAAAGTTGTATTTGTACTTTGTACTTTCATACTATTAAAAGTACAAAAGTAGAAGTCTACCCAAACACAGCCTTAAATTTATAGTTTTTTGCTTTTTGAAAGGTAGGGATATAAAAAAAATGAATTGCTTAAAAGTTTAACTTTATGAAAAGGTTTTTAAAATTGGACCGGATAGGAAATTGTTCTAGGGTCCAGTTTCTAGGTTGAACGGTCCAACCATCTGGTTTGAATGAATGGCCTGCTTTGACAAGAAAAATAAAAAACCCGAAAAACCGCCAAAAACCGTTCCTGAGTCAAATGATTCGACAGTTTGACCGCTCGAGTCAACAGTTTACTGACCAAATCAACAGTTTTTGGCCAAATACGGGTTTTGAGATAAAACAGAACCAATCACCAGACCGGTTCCCAATTCTCCGGTCCGGTTTTGAAAACCATGCTATATGGTTAAAATTCTACTTCAAACGAAGATGAATTTTGAACCCAAATGCATTTTCTTTTTTAAATATTCAAAGAATCAATTCTTAGAATGATTTCTAAAAATCTAACCCCAGAAAAAGAATCAATTTTCAATAATTTTCAAAAAAAAGCAGACTAAATTAAAAGTAATTTTTACTTGTTCATCAAGACCACCGACAATTCATCCAAATGAATTCTGTGAAAGCGTACGTAGCAGTGATTAGGCTACTTACTTATCGGTAGAGAGATACGCTTGAAGGACTTGTGATTGTTGAGGACTAATTAGAGTGCCTGGGATTTTAAACTGTGCGAGTATTTCATTGGGAAAATCAAGGACGAGTATCATCCCGACACCGCCGCCCCGTCTTATGCTTYCTCCTGATAAATCTGTTCTTGTGTTAATATTCTCGCACACCACTATCTTTCCTTTTATCAACGTGTTGTCAAGACTGTCCTTCTCACAAGAACTGCAGACAAACAAACACAACTTTTAGACGGCCTGCATCGCCGTGTTTTAATGGAGACTAAAATTCGTGAGTGGTTTCACTCTTGAGTCCTGAGGGAGGTTCTGTTTGTTTGCAGAGGCAGAGCTAATTCAGTCAAATACAAAATGTGCACCGGTTCAGTTTTGTATCATTTGTTTTTAATTTATTATGATTTATACTCTTATAAAGTCTTATGTGATATAATTTTTTTTTTTGTCTCGTTTTACTCATTGACAATGCAAATTTTAACTACCAAAAGTTKATTCAAATTTTGCATTACCTTTCTACTTAATTCTCTTTAATATAAGGTGAARCCCACATCATCTTGCTTCCTCCATAAGGTGGGGCTCTTTTCATAAACATATAAGTTGAAGCAAATTGTACCAGAATTTACACTTTGACTATCTTATGCATTTGCATTAATCCAAATGAAATTAGCACTCAATACCAAAATAATAAAAAATGCACTGCAAACAAACAATCTGGGAAACCATAGGCCAATTGAATGCACCGATGATCCTTGGCTATCAATTAACCAATAATATTAATAATAATTTATACCTAGCATTGGTAGAAGGAACACTCGGAGCTGCTGCATCACTCGCGTTTATGACACCATAAAAGCCATCCATCATAAATGGGTTTAAGGAGTAACCCTGATTCATTAAAAACGGAAAACGTATTTTTAGAACCCTAATCTATTTAACTGGGTATCAAGGGAAATAGTGAGTCTGAATCATTGATAATTAAAAGAAATAGAGAAAAAAAAATTTACTTGGTATATTAATTATTCTGATTAATTAATTAATTAATACGTATATACCTTGAGAATTTTTGAATTTCCAAGATGAACATGAGAGGAGAATTCTCGATCCACAGAGCTCGCTGCCACTGTGAGGATCCAAGGTGCCACATTTGTCAATGTTCTAGGAAAGTAAAAATTTCCAGCTGATGCTGAAACCAGAATTCCCTTCCTGAATGCATGAAAAGCTCCAATAGCGATGGGATCAATAGAGTAGCTGTAGGTAGTGGAACCAAGTGAGATGGAGATTATATCGACGCCATCATCGATGGAATCATCAAAGGCTGATAGGACGTCAGCGACGGAACAGAGTCCTACCGGCCCCCAACAAACTTTGTAGACAGAAAGCCTAGCGCTAGGTGCACCTCCCCTTGCAACACCTCTCCCTATTCCTCTGTACAAACTGATATTCCTCACCATGGATCCACCCACCGTGGATGCGGTGTGGCTGCCATGTCCATTCTCATCCCGACCTGACCGAAAGAAACTAAAACCCAATGATTCAAGTCGTCCATTTTCTGCTTCCGCTCCTTTCCAGTAATATCGAGCACCTATTACTTTCCTGCAAATTCCAAGAAGCCCACTACCCATTTGATCATCAACCACTCGACCGGACGATAACGATATATATAAGCAATAATTAATCTCGATGAGGTCTAATTAATATTCATGCATTGAACTAGGTAGCCAGAATTTGCAGCACACAAGACAATAAACAAAAACGTACGCAAGGCAAGATGCATTAATTGGTAAACGTATATGATGATATCTAGCTAGATGATCAGTCAACAACCACCTACCTAGTTGTAACTAATTACACAGATATCATGTCGATGGAATAATCACAATACCTGTTACWGTTGGCCAACGTAAAATTATCACCAGTCACACACTCTCCCTTAAATCTCTTGGGCACAGGCCCTAAGCCTCTGTCGTTGAAGCTCTCTGACTCCGGCCAAATTCCTTTACCAATGGAATATACAAAGCAGCAGCATACTTGTTAGCCGAGCTGCCGAGTTAAAAGAAATATGCATATATAATTAATAGTTTACCGGTGTCAATGACGCCAATGATCATATCCGACTTAACGTCAATAGGCAATTGGTTATATTGATGAATAGAATCAACTCCCAAGAACTCCCAAGAATGTGTGGTGTGAAGATGAATCGTCCGGCTCTCGAAAACAGAAACAACCGATTCACTCTCTGCAGCATCGATTGTACATGGTTATGGGGTGCCGGGGTGGGTCAGTAATTACTGATTAGAGAATAATATATATATATATATTTTAACAATCTTAGTAATTAAGCCCTTCCCAACCCAGCTCAAGCCAATCTTACCAGAAAGCTTCTCTGCTTGTTCCGCCGTGAGCATAGCAGAAAACCCTCTGAAACTCTTGGTATAATGGTGAACTGCTGCCTGTTGTGCTCCATCAATACTTCCAAAGAAAGAAAAAAAAAACCGGAAATTAAACAGTAGGTACCCTAGCTAAATCTATTAAACTGTTTGCAGGAAATTGTGGAAACATGGGCACAATTAATCCCGATTAATTATTTTACAACCACTGTTGCAAGACTTTCTTGTGACCCAAAATAATATTCGCACATAAATAACCTGGTTTTACTTTTACATTCAAAACAACTCATGATCTGTACATTCTTAATTTATTTTTCCACTGGGGTGTCTCTTGTATTTTATTGGTTGCGCGGTTGCAACTATTTCCTGTTACGGTGGCTGCAGCTGAAGATGTGGGCAACTGGGGATTACATGTTAATTAGTAACTTACCTGCCAACGAATGAAGCAAGCATCTCATGGTTAGCACTGATCACAGAATCTGAATCCGGGTATGAGTGCTGGTCTCCCATGTAAACTATGTAGTGCTGCTGCATCCATTTTTTGACAACTTCTTTAGTGGTTGAAGTGAATGATTTGTCACTTCATTTTTTAGAAAAAGTAATTGAATAAAATCACGAGTCATATTGTAAATCAGAAGATTTCTTCTCTATTTTTTAACAATTTATGAAAAAAATAAAATAAATATTACTAAAAATCTAAATTTTGATAAATAATTTTACCCAGCCAATTTTTAATTGGTATCTACAACATGTGTATCTGAAACCATAGAATTTATAACTCGGACAACAGAAGAAGAAGAAGAAAAAGAAGAAGAAGATGATGATGATGATGATGACGATCAAATAATATAAAATATAATGGCTCTTTAATCCACATATGATAGAAAATAAATTCTGATATGATTTTTGAAAAGTATTAAATGAATCGTTTTCTGGTAAGGGATTTAAAACAATTCTCCCTTGACAAAACTTAAAACACAATCAAAGAAATGAAAAAATTACAGAATTAATTATTGATTAAATTAATTCAAAATGCATGGTATAACATATAATTCATCATATTCCAGAATCAAATTGTAGGACTCAAACAAAAATCATAAATGTTTTGACAACTATGCTACTTTATAACCAATTCAATAAAAGAGGCAAAAGCAATAAGTCATTCAATTCAGCCATCTCAATTATAGTCAACTGGCACCTTGATCAAGTAACTGAATGGAAATGACATTATTTTGGCTTTTAGTATATAAAATAAGTAACTCATAAAAGATCAGCCATTGAAGTGGCAAAGGCAGCCCATGGCTTCGTTTGAAGTATTACCTTGGTGATGGTAGAACTGGATTCATGCAAGAAAGAAAATCCAAACAAGRCAAAAAGGGCGACAACAATGGTAAATTCCATGGTTCTGATGGAACTGGGAGATACTAACAAACAAGAAAAAGTAAGGGAAGAGTAGATGCCTAATAGCTAGTTCTATTTAATTTATAGTTGAAATAAAAAAAAAAAAAAGATTTTGAACTCGAGAATTTCAGTTGTATCATTAAAATTAAAATAAAAAGTTAATTTGTTTCCTCAAAATTAATTTAGGGAGTGAAAGCTACCTGGTTGGTTGCTGGGCTCCACATTTGGATCGATACATCCAACTTATCTTCAAATTATTTGGATACATGCYACCTGTACCCAATGAACGACCTCTCGCGACGACTATTGGAGAACAGAAACATGTGGTGGTGCATGCAACGAAAATTCTTTCTTTATATAGTTGGCCTGTCCTGTATAATGTTGAAAATTAATTAGGCAAATGTCGGTTTCCCATAAAGTTGATGTAATTGATGTAATCTATTTGATAACCAAACAAACTAACTCCAGTATTCTATATATATATATATATATATATATATATCCAATCAATCAGTATTTCAGGAGTGAAATTAGATTAACGGAGTATTCTATAGTATGATAAGAAATTGGTTAGTGTGGATTAGTCCATATCACACTTTGTGGTAGAGATTAATCTTTACCACACCATAGTATACAGTAATTCTGAATTGTGGATAAGTTATGTGGACTGGAGCAGTCCACATCTATAGTGGCGTTCTGTAGCGTGATGTGGACCAGTTCATACCACATTTTTTTTATTCTATGTATCCCATGTACATTTTGTGAATGATATATACAGATAATCATAAATATCTATTTTGTGTATTTTGTATGATAAATATTTTAAAAAATGCACTAATGGATTAATATTAACTAATAAATATTAAATTTTTTTATAAAACAATATTAAAATAATTAAAATTTTAAAAAAATATATATTAAATATTTAAAAAATATAGTTTTATTAATAAAAACATTAAAAATTTATAAAAGTTAAAAAGCTAAAAAATATATATTATTTTATTGATGAAAAAATTAAAAAATTAAAGAATTATTATTTTATAAAACAATATTAAGTAACATTGAAAAATATTATTTTTCAACGATAATGTATAAGGTTTCAAAAAGAGTGGTAAAGCATAGGATCAACAATCAACCGTGGAAAGAATCAAACCAAGATTTTTTACCATTTACGAGATTTTGGGATGTGTGGATAGGACCGGTCAACGCTATATTGGGATGTGGCATGAATTGGTCCCGCCTGCACCCAACCGAACAAGACTGAATCCCATGGACAGTCACAAGATATACACAGTTCCGAATGCCACTTAATTTATTGCTCTTCACACCCACTACTTTAGAGTTGAACAGGAACATTTCTTGTATTATATGTTGTCATTCAACCATTCAGCGGAGATGCTCTCAATGCATAGCTAGATGAGTTGTGAGATGGGGGTTGACAGCAAATCAATGAGTAAATGCATACATCATAGTTGTTGGTAATTTAGAGATGGAAAAAAGTTGAACCAACCCACCAAAGAAGTTTACATCAGAAAAACTTTTGACTGTTTATAAAAAACAGCCTGAACTGTTTTAGAAACCTGTAGTAAATGGCATCGGATAATGAGTGTGGATAAAATAGTATTTATAAGGACCATCGGCTTCCAAAACAGCCCAGGCTGCTTTTTCTCAAACAGCCAAAGTGAACTCCTTTACATTTTGTCTTGTACCCAATGAAAGACCACCTGGCCTGCGAACTGCAATGACTAATGGAAAGTGGAAACATGTGGTGGTGCATGCAACAAAATTGCATTATATAGTGGGCCAGCAGATTGCTGAAAATTAAGCAAATGCCGGCTTGCCATAAAATTCTATGTAATTCATGATGTGATCCATCTGATAATGAAACACACTCCAGATCTCTTACAAACAAGCTAATACGGATTTTCTGAACTGTTAGATGTGTAGGTCCATAGTGAGAGGTTGACTGATATGTATTTTATGACTGATGTGGAGTCTTGTTAATGGTTCAATTCCACATCTAATTGAACAGCTATTGTAGCCAGTTAATCCTATTTCCAAACAAGCAGTGTGTATGATGAGGATCCAAGTCTGCTACCCATAAGCTGTTCCCACCGGTAATTACAAATGTGCATTGGGAATACTCTCATTCAGTGGTGTTTGCAGCAKAAAAGAAGATAAGAAGGGAGAATGAAGAAGAGAGAGAGAGAGAGAAAGAAAAGGAGGAGGGGCATAGGGCTCAACAATTTAAATAGGGCATATTTTGAAAAGTTAATGAACAGTTAAAGAAATGTTCCACATGTGTTGCTTATTCATAAGAAATGTTTCACATGTGTAATTGTGGTGTCTTGTGGATAAAGTGTTATAGCCTCTTGTGAGCAGTAGATCCTAACTCATAAAAAGATACAACTTTTTAATTTGAATATTTAAATTATAACTTCATCTTGAAGAAAATTTTGTTCCCGACGTGCAATGTCCGCTAATTACAGGAATTTAGGACCTGAGTCCAACTCAAGCTTAGAAAAGCCTTTATTTGCCAATCATCCCTCCAAAATAATTTGAGGGTCGTTTTCTGGTAGAATCAAATAATTTGAGATTCAACCACTAAGGAGGTGTTCTATAACATAAAATGTTGGGAAAATCTATGATACAGAAAGAGTCTTTTCGGATAAAATTATCCCTCTCCAAAACCCTTCTCCGAAATTCTGTGTTTGTTTTCTTGAGAGCGAAAGAGCCCATTTCCACTAGAAATCACAGCCTTTGATGCATTTTTGTGATTTCATTTAATTTTGGAAAATTTCCTGATAGGTATCCTGTATTTTAGGTCGAGTGTCAATTTAGTATCTAAACTTTAAAATGTGATAACCTAGTATCCGAATTTTCATTTTGCGACGATTTAGTACCCGGCGTTAACTCATCGTTAAGTGTCAGGGGAAAAGACACAAATACTCTTTAAGTGTCACTTATTTTCTTTTCAACCTTYTGTTAATAAAGCACATCGATCCCAACTTCCCACTAACCAAACCAAACATAAAGCATAAGAATTCAAATATATGAAAGCAGAAGAACAAGACGAAGCAGAAGCCTTGTCGCTCTCTGATCTATCAATTATGGAAATCAAGAGAGAGAAGCATTAAGTGAGTAAATTAAAGCTCTTGAAGCCGAAGAGGACTTTGAGTTTGGTTCATGAGGTGCCTCTCTTTTGACAGAATCAAAAATGTGTGCAGCCGACGACGTGTTCTTTCAGGACCARATCCTACCTTTACGGCTCTCGGTTAGTTCTAATAGTGGGCTGGCCGGATTCCGTTAAGATAGTCAGAATTCTAGTCATTGCAGTTCGAGGTCAGAGTCCTTGGAGCATGGTTCTTCTTGTGGTTTCACCAGCGTAAGCAGCAAAAGCGGAAGTTGGATAAGTCACAACTCGTCGAATAGCAACTCCGTCAATGCCACTAGATACAAGCCAAGAGTGAAGAACCATTTCCATACCCACCCTAGCCCAAAACCCAAATTGTGGTATTGAGTTGGACGACCTAAAGCAGTAGCAGTCACAATACCAGGAATGGTACCTGTGGTGGAAGAAACAGTTTTGATGAGGCCAAAATAGAGAAGAAAAGCCTGCCCCTTGTAAATTTAAGGAATGGTACCTATCGCTCTACAATTTTTCCCTTTGATTTACAGAGGAAACTATAGAATTTGGATTCGTATACATTCTGCTGTTATGAAACTTTGTCTTGTTGGCCTTATTTGTAGTTCTTTTCGTGCTACAGTCGAGGATTTTTAATGGAGAAAAGCTCATTCAATTTTTGTTCTTGTTTGCTGAAATTCAGTTTCGAACTCAAAGAGTAAAGATGGTTATACTAGAATTTTGGAATGGAAATTCGTTGTTGCGAATCCGATAGACTATTTGGTCTCCTATTACCGTTTTAATCATATAACTAGAACTATTGAATTTCTGAAGATATTGATGAAGATGGAGGTCTCTGGTGAGCATTCTTGTAAAATTGACTCAGAGTTGTTGAATGATGGAAGCTCTAAAGTATCACATTTGTAGAGCATTAATAGTTGGAATCAGCGGATACTGGTATCCGTAGGAGCCTTGGCTCAGATCAACAGTTTCATTCCATGGGTGCATTGGAGATCTTGAGAGAAACTGTTAGGATCCTTCGTAACAATTCCCTAGGTTTCATGATGATTGCAGCAGTGCTCATTTGCCCCGTCTCTGGTGTAGTCCTCTCTAATGTTTTAGTTGATCATTCTATTTTAGAGAGACTGAGTACTAGGCTTTTGTTAGTTGCGAAGTCAAGTGGACTGCCGTTGGACCCCTCTATTAAACAGTCATGCCAACATTATCAGATATGGCTCTCTCTGCCACTTCCCTTTCTACATCACGCTCTTGCTATTATCCAAATCTGCCATTTTGTACTCTGTAGAGTGGATTGAGTAGTTGTAAGTGTTCAGTTAGTGCAGTTGAAACAGTTTCTTCGAGGGTACTTGTTAAAAAAACTCAAACGTGAGTGAAAGCGATCATCATGAAACAACAATAGCAGCACCAAGATGAGGGAAAGCAAGCCATGTCTCATTGTCGCACAGTGCCTTTTAGCAACAGCCAAAAATTTGTTGTCAAATGTTTAAAAACTGTTGCTAAAGGATTTAATTACAATTAGATTGACTGTTATCAAAAGTGGTGGTTAAAAATTTTTAACCACAATCAGCTGTTGCTAATGAAGATTTTCAGCAACAATCTATATAACTGTTCCTAAAATTATGTTTCTGCAACAATGAACTTCAATTGTGGTCTTCAAGTATATTATTAGGAACAATTAATATTGATTGTAGCCAAAAGTCATTTTAGCAATAATTGTAGTCAATATATGCCATAGGAAACAATCGCACTAATTGTTGCTAAAACATAGGCAACAATCAATTAATTATTTCTTTGTAAAATCATTAAAATATATTAATTTAATATATTTATACCTTATTGAAGTCTTATATTTAGTGTTATTAATATATTTTTATAATTTATTAA